CTCGAATGATCGGTGTCTGCCAGTGCTGCTCATGTTTAAACTTTTGAACTGTTCTCAAATGCAAACTCTTGAGTCATCGTGTCACTTTTTACTTTTAATATAAAAATTATTATAGATATTAAGTAAATATATCATTAAATATGAAGCAGAGACTTGCATGCACACAATATAAATAATATAGATTCACGAAACAACAATTTGATGTAGAAATCGATCAATTTATCCATGAAAAATATGGAAAGAGAATGGTTAAAGTCATAAAATTTAAAATATCTTTTTTATTGCTGCTACGATCACAACGATTTTTTATATACAGATTGGCAAACTAAAAAGGCACATTCTGTGTAAATAAAAAAGCTCTTACAATTTAATCGGTTCGTCGTAAAGCTCAATGCGAACTTTTGAGCGATGAGCACTCTTGGGTGGTTTTATCCTATACTATCTTTATATATGCAATATATTTCCCAAGATGGAATGAAAAAGAAATTATGCAATAGATGAAGCGGGAAAGAACGCGGACGACGATAGTAAAGACGTAAAGACGTCAAATTAACCAGGCAAGCGAATGCTCAGCTTGACGAAAATCATTAATTAAACGGGAATTAAATGCATTAGGAACAAACCCTTGTCATAACTTCCGCGTGACCTCGTAAATCACAACGAGGGTTTCTCATACGGCTTCTTTTGCTCGCGTACTGAACGAACGGCGTTGCAACGCAGTGATCCGCGTCGCTCGAGGTGTAAGAGCTCTATTCAAATCAAAACGAGTGTGGACCGAATGTATTCGCGAACGAATGAATTTCAACGAGGAGCAGATGGATCATTGGAGGAACTAGATTATGGAAGATATCGCGCTACCGAAAGATTGATCGATTACAGATTACTCCTCATCGCGGGTACGTCAGGTCGATTCGATGACGAGCGATGTCGTAACTATCGTTTCATTATAGAACCGCATCGAAAATAAGACTTAAACGATCTTTAATGATTTTTCATAACCTCATTCGCGAACAAAAGTAGAATTTCTCGTACACTGTTACATTTTATAGGGTCAAATTAACTTAATGTGAATCGCCACTGATCCTACTAAATATATATCCTTATTTTTAACTAAAATGATTAAATTTGACACTATATAATGTTATTAAATTGATACTGTATAATGTCAAATATAAATCATTGTTTTAATAAAAAATAATGATATTATTGAGTAGGAGCAGTGACGACTCACATTAAGTTAATTTGACCCTATAAAATTTAACAGTGTAGCTGAGGAGAATATCGAACATTATAATTTCATTGAAATAGCATTATGACTTCGAAATGAGATCTACAAATTTCACCTCCCACCTCACCGTCGCTGGATGATACTATTTTTGCGACGATCGAAGTTGGAGGTCCGAGAGGTCCGAGACCGTTGCGAAACTTTAGCAGATGATTTTAGCAGATGATTTTGTCCCATCGGACGAGTTATATTCAGTTTCGCTCCGATAACATGCATATAGAAGTATCTGGTCGTGCAAGAGGAAAGGTAATAACAAAAATAACTCCCCATCGGTCGATAATTTTGTCGGCGATCGAGGAGACGTAAAGCTTGGAAATGCGTCGTTCTCAGGAGAATTCCAATTAGATAATTTTGATCGAACGATCTCTCATGCTTTCCGAGCATCTTGCTTTGGAAACTATCGGCGCTTCAACCTCAGAAATCATCTACGTAGGTTGAGATCAGTTCGAAACACGTCATGTTAACTAGTAATGCATGGTCCGTTCTCCCGATTACTTCGAAACAAGCAAATTGTCTAAGTTCAGTCAATCATTCGCTCTATTCTAGTTCGATCAGTCGATTGTCTCGCAAAGCACCGCCTTTGTCCAATGCTTACGTGGTAGTTCTCGTAACGGCAATTCGAGGTTATCGATGAACTCCTCGATAGCCAGCAATAAAATGAACGGCTGAGGCTATGCAACGTGACGCCGTTCGATAGATGTATCTTATAGATCCTCTTTTCTCTCCATTTCTTTCAAGTCTTTATAACTCGATAGATCTCATTTATATCACGATATTTTAACTCTTTTTAATCGGTTTCATCAATACGAAAGTTTCATCACGCGATATTAACTAAAAATAAGTAAATTTATCAAATATAAGATACAATCTATAAAATTTATTACATCCGTGTATACATATAACGTGGATTGTGTCGTGCGATTTTATAATTTTAAATAACGATTTTCTAAGAGAAAGAAAAAGAAGGATACATTCGTAAGCTAACGTATCAGTTCGTTCCATATCGACGGTTCTTAATCCTCACGTACGACTCCAAGGGAGCCATTGCCGCGGAAATATTCATCCGTTGACTTTATGAACATACGACGTTGGCAGGTCGTAAGGTGTCTCGTTCTCTTTTATATTGCAACGCGACGGAAGCTATTGGTTCTGGTAATAACGACGGCGTTGCCTCAAGCTTTCCTTCCTTCCTTCCTTCCTTCCTTATATTGAAGGTGAGCTTCACAAAGCACGGAAGCCGCAAGGTATTTACGGCCAGCAAAGCCCGGTTTGCTCGTTTAGTTCCGAAGCATTCGGGTGTTGCTTGCTCCTCAATTCAACTAGAATTTGCGGTGTGTCGCACTGTCGCTCTTTCAATATCAGATGTAACCTGCAACTTCACATAGCGGACGCTCGTCTGCCACAATGTCGAGCCATTCACAAAAATCGCGAACAACACGGTTTGATCCTACCTTGATTGCTAACGTCAACTTTTATGCGTTTCGTGCAACCTACTGTAATCGCATTATGGCGACAATAAAAAATCATGCTATTTCTCACGTGGACGGACAACAAAAAAATAAGAGGAAAAAACGTCACGATATAGCCCGATCTTCGATCAATTGATTTGACAAATTGTTACGAGAAAGACGAATTTGAGACGGTCAAGTTAATGTCCTCAGTTATTCCTTAAGATAAATCGAAAGTATATATGTACAAGTATCCGTTTACGTCAAATTTACTTTATAGGCTCGATAAATCGATCGGTGCGACATGGTAAAATAGAGTAAACCCATGTATTCGGTTTGTATCAAGTGTAGTCCGATGGAATTTACGCGTACAGTTACCATTAAGGAGAATCCAATATGTGTACCCACTGTAATGTGTCTTCGATCAAATTGCGCGAGATAAATCGACAGGATTCGTACGTTTTGCCGAATGCGAGATATAGGATGCTTTCCAGCAAGAGATACAGATAACGCAGAGTGTAACAGTAAATTATTACATCCTTGTTGTTTGCTAATGTAACGAAGACGACATGATCAGTGTATTGCTTGCTGGAAAGCATCAATAAATTAGTAAAGTAAACTTCCGATTTTTCGAACATGAATACTTCCTCAGATAAACTTCCCTGAAATACGCTTGACCTCGTTTTATAATACCGGATTTAAAAACCATTCTGCAAACTTCGAAACTGATATTGAAATTTCATTTAGTTATGTCGTTTTTTTTTTAACACATGTAGACTGCCATTACCTTGGATAGATAAAAATCCCGCTAATATTATATAAAGATATGAGATTAACATTTAAAATATTCTTCTTATATTTTTTATTGCAATTTTAAATTTTTCTTCTAATTTTTCTTTATTTTAAGCGCATTTGCATACATTTTTCATTTAGTAAAAGCATTTCTAAGTATCTCGGTTTTGTTTTTATATTTGTGTGTTTTACATGTTGTATATCTTCGTTTTCTTTTCACGATGTAAAAGGGCGGATATATATATCAGAGATACTCACTCGTGGCAAGTATACAAAAGATGGAGGCAACCCTCAAAGTAACACGAAGAAAATGCGGATTTTATCGGTCTTGGTCGACGTGCACGCTACCCTCCGAATATATCAAATTTCGAAACTATTTAACCGAACCATTGTACGGTGGTTACATGACACTGTTGACCCCTTTCAGAACTACGAGCACTTTAGGATCAAACTATCGATACTCTCTTTCAATGTTCGTCAATATTTTCTTAGTTTCCCTTCCTCTTTCATTTGCCCTGGAGATCGATTCATACTGCAAGTTGGTATTAAATCGCGATTCTATTCTGTAATCAATGTTCAGTATTCTTCGGCAATTACAATCGATCTTTCAAAAGGTAACCAGCTAAGCTGTCAGGAAGCTGTCAGAATAGATATGGAATTATAAAAATCCAGCGTGAATCATTTTTCGCACGGAATCATAAATTTTTCATGATTTCCAACGATTTTAAAATTGTAAAATCGTTACGATTTTCATAGTGAATGCTGTATTATTAGCTAAAAAGAAAAGTTTCTACGATAAAAGTAAATACCAGGCATATATTCCGCTACGTCTCATGAATATTTAATCGTTGGCCTTGCTTCGTTTGTCGCGCATACACTCGCGACTATGTATTCACGCATTTCTCTCTGCACTCTCGACCGATATACTCTAATACTTGTGGCCGGTTGTCAAGCTTTACATACGCTTAAACAGTTATTGTTTTGATCGTAATAGCAGAAGGTAGTTGGAGTGCATTTCTATAAAGATTCCAAAAAGTATAATGGAAGGAAAATATGTGACAATAAATGGCAATAATGTAAATCATATTTTTCTCGTTACATTTAACATTTATGACACTCGAACTAATAAAAATATCTTATGAATTTTTTTTTCTGTACATAATAATCCTATAATTATATCCTATAATTATTCTATACTTATTTTATATAATTATTCTGCAAATTCTCTTATAATAAAAAATATTTTACGCAGAAGAAGTCAAGCTTTGCTTTGTATCATTAATCGATACTTCGAATAATAACGTAATCAAACGCAGTATTTTATCAACCCACAATTGCAGATTTTCTTTATTCCTATTTATTGGAAATTTTCGAATGGCAAATATTTGTATCAACGATTGTAATAATAATAATAATATACATGTTTTGATACGCTAATGATTAATGGCAGAGCATTGTGTGAAAATATGACTCACCTGTCGCAATCAGCAGTGTCGCATGTCGCATCAATACAATTATCGCGGCAATTGGCAAAATTATAATACTCACCTGTAACAGAAAAAAGAATATTGTATTAATATTTTATAACACCAATAAAATAATTAAATACATTTATTTATAAATCTGATAAATTTTTATTTGTATTAAAGTTTAGAAAGATCGAACTTTATTCCGTTAAAAAGAAACGCAATAATGAAGACAACAGAAAGCAAAGAGGATCAACGAAAATGGTCACAAAGAAATCTCATTAGCGACTAATACGACCAAGGATCTCACAAAAGTACAGTATGAAAGAAACTTGCTACTTGGATGTTCAGAAAAAGGAATGATGACGGAGCCATTACTGTTAGCAATTAACTGTATTTGAACTTGCGGTTGTGCGTACAACAAACCGACTGTTGAGTGACGAGTGAGGGGAAGAGAGAGAGAGAGAGAGAGAGAGGGGGGGGGGGAGGAAGAGAGAGAGAGAGCCATTTTAATTATATTCTTGATATTCATGAATAAACATGAATTCTGAATCTGACGTTCAAAATGTCTGTAATATTCCATAGCAAAACGGCGATCTCTTCCGAGCCGAAGAACAATGAGGAAGAAGGCCGGATAATCTTCGTTGCGCAAATAAAGCTACCCAAGATATACTGAATTTCTATACAGCTACAGCTCAGATTGGAAATTGTACGACAGTGTGCAAATGAAGACCGTCTAAGCTAGAAAATCATTTAGATCATTCAGGAATTTAATAAGCTACGGCACTTTAAAGCAACAGCAGTAACTTAAGACTGCGTATATTAAAATATATATACATATATATGTGTATATATCCGAATATAAATCGCACTGATTTACTATTTCGAAACAAGCTATATCCGTTGAATTGTTACACAAATGAAAAAAGTATTAATATACGTTTTACACATATTTTTTTATCATCTAATAGCACTCTTGTACATTGCAATTTTTCTCTATAACCATATTTAAAAGAGTCACAACAGTTTTGTTGTTTGTAAAAGATAAATTTATATTACTTCATGATGAAAAAAGAGTTGACATATCTTCGTCTAATTGTTCCCTCTTTCATCCGTCGCTTTATGTTTCCGATCCGTATTTTGTGTGTATGTGTGTAGTGCATGCATTAAATTTTATCAAGACTTTTCTTAATGTAATTAATCGTTAAATTAGTTTCAGGAATTATGATAAAACCATCATTAAATATGAATTATATACATATACTTTACACACGTATACTTTTGTCCTTCGTAATATCACGTACGTATACTTAACTTCGTCTCTCGTAACATTAATTGTATTTATTCGTAATTAGTATTTATTCGTAAATGTATTCAAATAATATTCTACGAGGATAATAATAAGAGTATTGTGTATCATTTATCATACATTATTCATATCATATTTTAATTAAAATAGAATTATTTATACTTCTATCCTCACAACGTCGTCGCAATAGAATCACATTAATAATTCTCGTGCAATTTCTGTAAAGCTAAAATATTTTACAAGCTCGTTTCTAGGACAATTTTCCTTTCCGGTATATCGAAAACATTATTCAAAACGGTAGGACTTCAAGTTGTTGCAAAAAAGTTGTGATGATGGAAAATATTTTTCTGTATCTTGACTAAACTTATCAACGTTGTCATAAAGGAAAATAACTCGCGAACAGAAAGGAGAGAAAATTATATAAGATATTTAACCTCATTTCGCGGTACACCGGATGTCGTAAAGGTCGAGAATCAGGCTGGCAGATCTGAGCTTGAAATGTTTGCAAACTGCCGTTTACAAAACTGTTAACAAGATTGATGTTAACCGAAATACGATTAACGTGATAAATTCGCTCATTGTCATAAATAACACCAAGGCCGATTATCCTCTTAGAACGATATCATAGTAGAACGTGGCTAATGAAAAATATAACTTAACGTTTCACGACAGTCGGCTCAGGAATCGTAGTTCGCGTCGTGTCAAACTCGTATCAGGTGGATTAATCTCTTTTTTTTTCTTTGAATCGCGTGAATTTTTTCTGCTATTTTCAGTTATCGTATTAATATATGTATATTATATTCCAATTATATATAAATTATGTATAAATTAGTTACTAAGAGGGAAGCTATAAAACCGAGTGCGATAAAATCACACGTTCTGCGTGCGACGGTTCGCTGATTAGATCACATTGTGTCTGTGTAAAAGAGAGAGACAGAATTACAAGGATTTATTTAATAGCTTAAGAGGCTCGTCTAAAGGCGCATTTTACGACTTAACGTACACGTACAAATAACAAAAATCGATGAGTGCTTATCAGTCAAGTAAATCATGGAAACAGTAGCGTCACGCAACATCAAAATTTATTTCGCATTTCGTCAGCTTTGTAATCTGCTTTACAAACGATACAAATTCTAGGAATTGAACGGAAAAGGCTCGTTCTTCTCGAACGCGACCGGATTAAATCGCAGCTTCGAATTCAATTCTTTTGATGATCGCGTATCTTTGAGACTATAATGCAGAAGAATCTTTGTGAGAATCGCGACTTGCCCGGAAGAGGAGCGGACCAGATAAGAAGGTGAGGCAAAAAAGAAGAGTCGATGCCTCGTTTGCTTGACGAGACGGATAAAAGGAAACGTTTCCAAAGCGCCTGGACCAGTACCAATTGGCTTGGTTCAACGGGCACAGACTGCCTCAAAGGACGAAGATCCCCGCTTTTAATTCTTTTTTATAATCTTCTCCGTAAATACGAAATCTCAAATTGAAAGGAAACCGCCTATACCGCTCGGTTACCCGAAGAACAGATACGAAGTCATACAATAAATCCTTTTTCAACGACATTTAAACATTTTTCAAGACGTAATTGTATTCGTTGACCTACTAATAATATATAAAAGCAAATACACAGCTAAATTAAATACGAAAAAGCTAAATGCAGTCGAGAAAGGATTTAGAACGTACACGTGTTATTCCCTGTTGGATCGCGTAGGAAGATACGAACACGCTTACGTTTCTGTTTCAGTCGAATTGCTGGTGAGAGGTTCATTTGTCATTGTTGCAACCGACTAATAGCATAAGTCAATCAACGAGAACGTTAACGAGCATCTAGAGGATTACCCACATCGTGTAAGCTGAGTACTAGGGCGACCATAAGATTGGCTAATCCACAATCGATTGGCTATTTGACGCTCATCGATACTGAAAGTAAACTGAACTAGAAAGAGTTTCTCTGATAAATCAGTCTTTTAAATTGAGAAACCCATTTAAACCCTGCGAATAATTAATGTGTATTACATTTTCGACACAATGTAATAAATTGACTTGGTTTTAAATCAAATAACTTTAGGAAAGCCTGTCATAAATATTCTCTCCGAATTACTTCGTCGTATGACATATACATATATAAGTAAAATGACATTTGCACGAAACACGCGTTTCGAAATTGCGTTTCCCTTAACTCGTCAAAGTACTTATCAAAGTAACGCTCATGACTCTCTTCGGCGAAGTTACAGGAAATGACGGGGTAACTTTACACAGAAATGGTACGACGGACATCCAAGAATTTCCACAACAACGTTTCCAATATGTTCCAACAGGACTACCGCGTAGAAAGCATCAGTCTAAATTACGGGAGCATTATCCCGTTGCATGAAAATTGCACCGAAATGGCTGTTCGTACCTCATAAACATTTAAAAAAACTTCAGCGGTGGTATCGCGCGGATACAACCGGAATTTACAGCAATGTTTCACAGAGTATCGACAACGCAGAGGTGCATGAGAACGTTCTCGCTGCGCTCTCATTTTACATGCTCTCGTTAGCATCAGTCTCAAATAACAACCCTGCAAGACAAACACCCTGTGATGACCGCTCGCGTATTAGGATACGAAGCATCTAACAGTAAGTCCCGTAACGTATAGGCGACATGAATGTATCATGAATATTTCAAATCCTGTAAGTGTCTGTCATCACGGAGGCAAAAGCTGTTTCGAATTCAGTTGAAGCAACGACGAAGTATATATCCCTCTTCTCTTCTCTTCTCTCCGTCTGACAATGAGATCAATGAAGCTGATCTCTTCGATCGCGATTGCATGCACATCGCAGAGAGACAACTCATGAATAGAGTTGATATTCAGTCTGATAAATTATTGGTTCAATAAAAATTGAGCCTAGAATCGTACTACTGTGCGCTATAAAAAAAAACAATAAAATAAACGATCTTACTGAGCAAATGGTTCTTTTCATTTTACCCTCTTGTCCGTGGTCTCGCTTATAATCCGTCAAGAAATAAAGCGTGTACGTGGCGCGAGTGGCAAGAGACAAATGTGGACGTGTTACTCTTGTAACTTCACTTGTTCGTCGTGTAAACCAGTTTATTTTGTTGTGGCATCGCCGCTATGCTTAAAATGACTTATTTAATCCGTACAAATATGGTTGAGAATGCTTTTTGCTCGCATCCCGTTACGACTACAAAGGTCCTATACTTATCAAAACGTCGCTTAAAACAGGCAATTTTAACGAACTGAATCAGAAATGACTTATGGAGAGTCAGGATTGGGAAATATTTGTAACTGTAACGTGTTACTTTCCAGAATCAGTAATTAGTTATTCTTTGAAAGAAAAAAACTGTGACTAATTATTTTTTAATAATCCTCTTGTTAAATTTTTGCATTACTAATTTAAATATAAGAATATTTTCTTACATTTTTAACGGTTAGGTGCTAAATTATTTTACTTATACTAAACATTTAATTATCTGCTATATTATGTACGATAAATTAATATATCACACTTGAGATTAAAATTATGAGATCAATATTAAGACGCGTTTGCATACTAAAAAAATTCTAACTTAATTCTTAATGCAAACATTTACAGAGTGTGATGATTACCAGAAATAAAAATATACGATAAATTCCAATTACAAAAAATAATCATTAATTTGTCACTGAACATTTTATTTTAATTCAGCTTATACATATGTTGAATAAGTTTGGTATAAAATAAAAGTGACACAAATTAGTTACTAGTTACAAAAATGTAATTAAATTAAGTTATAATTATAGATGGAAAAAAGAAAGAAAATTAAGTTACAATTATTAAAAAAAAATAGAAATTTTTAATTCTAACCTCGTTACAGGTAACAAATTATTTCTCAATCCTAAGTTTCACTAAATAAAAACTGACGTTTTTTCTTAAAGATATCCAACTATTGCTATAGAAAATACTGTTCCAATCCCCGTTTTGACCGACGGTGACTTACCACATCTCTCTGCAGAACGCTAGGATTGTAAACCATTATTCGTCGCTGTTTTTTGATAAGTCTACTGAGTCTCTGAGTTCTTTGAGCGCAAGTTAATGCTTTTCCAGAGATCGGAAATTCGTCCTGCAACTCGTCTTCGAGATCATCCTCCATGCTTTTGTCGATAGGTGAATTTTGTTTCATCGTTACTGTGCTCAACGGCACGGCTTTCGCAATGAGAGTCTCACTTCGCACGCTCCAAGTAGATCCACCATATTTCTTCAAATTCATCAAATCACCTATGCTGCCTCTCACGCTACTGCTGCCCAGTTGAAGGTTCGTTCGGGATAAAGCAGGCGAATGTGGGAGCGACTCGGAGCATTGCTCCGTTGACTTGACGACATCCGGTAGAATCGCCTTATTCTGAAGCTTATCTAGATCAGACAAGGATGATCCTCGACGTATTTTTGCTCGCGGCTCGCGAAGACTTTTCTTTGAGAGTCTCTCCTTTTCCTTCTCGCCACGACTCACGCTTTTCGAAGATAACGATGACTTCATAGCAAACAGGCCTGCCTTTAAAGGGAACAATAAAGCCCATTCCGTCGACTTCTCTCGAGTCTCCATTGTATAGCTTTTCTCTCTAGACGATACAAGGCTACTCAATAAGGTAGCGCTTTTTCTTTCAAAAATTGTAGCAAAAATTTTAAATTCAATTCGTCAAAACGTTGTCGGTTTTCCGACAATGTCAAGAATTATGATTATTCTCGTTGTCCACGACGATTTCAGCACGACACTTCGACATACAAAGCCGTTAAAATACTAAAATATCGCAGTTACACATCGTCGAGGATATTCGTGATAGCGCTGCATCCGCTATTTAAGGATATCCGCTTCAGTGCTTATCGAGTTTCATTCACACGCTCCGTTAATTGTATCCTTGTACTTGAACTAGTTTGAAAAAAAAGGTTTCTTATATATGTTGTTGTAGCATTTTCTTTTTGACTCATAATATTGATCTTCGTTGCACGTATAATCCACAGGCACATGACATCCACCGTCTATCCTCTTCGTAATAATTTTCTTGGTTAAGTTCTATCCCACATAATTTTCCCATACCACCGATTTATTTTGACGTAGATACATAGTGATACCTCGCGTAAAGATCCTCTTTCATCCAATTCCACGATCAGACTCGCTAAAAGATCCGTGCACGAGAATCGAGCCGAAGGTGGTGGTCAGTCTCCCTCGGCTGGACCACTTAGTGGTATTTTCACTTAAGTTAACACGACCCCCTGTACGGATGCGCCCTTTGCGAGGCATACGACAACACTTCCGTCTAATAAAAGCCTAATAACGATCGATACAATCGCTCCGCCTCTTTTATTCGCCGATTCGTTGTAGTCGAAGGTGTGCTTAACTTCGAAGCTAAAGAGAAGAGGTAACTTCAAGAAAACTTGAAGAGCGGGGCGAGACTTTCACCCTTCGGTCCTTCTGCACGACATCGATGTGCTCGCAGTCTCTCGCCGGATCATTGACTATTATTGTACTGAAAGAGAAACGTTTGACTCGGGTTGACAAGCGCCAGCAGCGATAAGCAAATGGCGGGAGGTAAGACCTTGCGGCGAAGGTGATACCGATTCCTCACCGTCGGTCTGGCAATCATACGGGCTTCTGATTATGACGCCGACTACCGGCTTGGCCTACATAGATTACATCCTACGAGGTCCTATCGCAGGAAAACATATGTACACGTTTAAAAAGAAGAGTCATCTTCAGCTTGTTAAGAATCTTGAGCTGCGTGAAATAATTACTTTTTTAACATTTATTGCACGTATATCCGTGTGCATGTGATTAATTAATTAAATTATACGAATTAATTAAAATACGTAATTAGGAAACTGAATATAGAGCACATATGTGGATTGTGTTGACCTGCATATGTTCAAATTGCATTTTAAAAGAAACCGACAAAGTTCTTTGCAAATAGTATGCCGTAAGCGCAAAGAATTGTATATGGAAAATAGAATGGAGGCAAGATGAAGCTTTATCAAGACGCGTTTCGACGGATGGTGGAATGTAAAATGCATGTGACGCGAAGGAATTCGAATAAAATGCAAAGTGTACGCGGGCAGCGCATAGGAGTCTACATTTTTACGTGAATAATAAAAAACGTGGCGACGACGCGGCGGAGAAATCCGTCGACGTGCGTAGTAATATGAAAGCAGTGACTATCGACAGTCACGATCAAGAAAGTGTCTACACGTAAAAGCTATTTTATCAGTAAGAAACAAAGAAGGGAAGAAAAGTACGCTCGGGTAGCTGACCCTTGAGCTTTTGTAAATCGCTTTAGCGAAGAAACTCAGTCCCAAGCGGCAGAAAAATTCTTCTACCGTTAAAATATCCGTCCTAATGTAATCCGATCATTTTCTTTTCGTTGTACGTGGCGAGAGAAAAAGAAGAAGAAACTGAGAAATACTCGGAAGATATTTCGCTTCGACGTTCGCGAGATGCATAGAACGATTTATTTTGGATTTTTATTACGCTGAAAATGTTTTTGCGTATCAAAACAGTTGATGTGTAGGAGTGCGTATCGTAAAAATTGTACTCTTGGGAACCGTATTCCTCACGCCGAATCGAATTTCTGAGCAAATCAATATATACACCTAAATTGTTTCCCGTAGGACGATTATTCCGCTGAGGATAGTTCTTCTGGCAGATAGGCAAGGTGAGGAAGCATACATGAACAAATGCACAAACCCATGAAAAAATGATAATTAAGTCTCACAAGAGTTGTAGCAAATCCGATTATTGTTTCCTTATACGCGAAGAATTTGTGCTTATGATATACGTTCGTTAAAATAATGCCTAAAACTAAAAAAAATTTTATGGTTCTGCGAATTTTTATTTATTTATTATTCCCTCTTTTTCTTGTATTCTTTTGGAAAATCACATTTTTTTTACGTGATTTTACAATAATCGTGCAGGGCATAATTTTCTTTTATCGATAGCTATATTCAAACAGTTGTTGATTGTGGCAATTATGACGCAAAGAGGCCGGCCTTCCTGGCATGGTTTCCAAGCCGTGGAAGCGGCAAAACAAACAATTGCTTCGGCAACTGCCTGTTTCAGCCAACCCACGGTTCCGCACGAATTTACATTTTCCGCTGGCGGAACCAAAGTTTCTCGAACATATACGATATATCGACTGCTGCGGTTCCCAGGAGTGCACCAGGTGCGTACTCTGGTGCTTTCGTTCGAGCCGACAAGACTGCGTTAATGGAAGTTTCGTGTAAGCCAGGCGTTAATCTCTGGCACCGGACGATCCGACGACGAGCGATATATTTTTAAGGTGGCGACGCCGAGGCGATAACGAGCGTCAATAATTCGCTACGACACTTTGTATCGTTGAACATTTACCTTGCACCTAAATCAATATACGGCATATGACGGTAATAACGTTTAACGATCGTCGATTAGCACGATATGGAATATCGGTGCGATTGAAAGAAAAAAATATATCTCTGTCACGAATTGCGGCCAGGAAGTAAAACTCACGGAAAAAAACGATAGAAAACTACTGTAATTTATGTATATCGTGACTTTTATACTCATCGCTTTGTTTCAAGTTTCAAGTAGAACGAGCTCGTAGATGATTGAAATAAACATTTCGGCGAAACGATGTTATCGATTGCGTCACGCGAGTGTTTGATTATTTAACATTTCGTCGCATAGACATATTATGCCTATGTTTCGTCGCATCCATATTACGTCTATAGTAGCATCCTTCTCGGAAAGTAACGTCACATGTCACACTTCTTTATCTGCAGGCCATTTGCGAGATATTTGCTCAATCATTTTTTAGCTGATATATAAGCCGATATACTATGTATATACCGATGTGCACGTATATCAAGTCAGCTCTGCGTTGTTTTTGTCTGGCCGCGGAAAAGCATTTTTCTGCCAATCGATAGAGAGTCCGCCTGCCGCTGCATTAATGATAACATCGCCAACGTTCTATCAATCATCATGACACATTGGCACATCAGCGACTGCTAAATGTAGACAAAACTAGCTTATGCAAATCATACCCTACTATAGATAGCATCGAGTCCCTATTTCACAGCCTCGTTAAGTATATTCGATGGGGATCAACGTACTGCCAGCGACCTTCCGTCCTTGAACAATTAACATACAAATGAGCGATAAACCGGAGAACCGGGTAGCTGCTTGTCTGCGTGTGCAACGAATCGATGTTACGTGAAGGTAATGATTGACAAGGCCATTGTAAGTGAAGGACTGCGATTAATGCGGGTTACTGCCGGCATCACCGCATTTTTCCAAAGGTCGCCCCTGCGATCGTTGACCGCCGTTTTAACGAATCCCGGCGTGATCGGTTTAATGATCGAAATTTAAAACAAAGAATTCCTTGACAATTATTTTTATCGTTTCTGTCTACCGTATCTTCATATGCGAACAATTAAAAATGTATTTGTATATCTTAATTTTACATACGTTTAGCTGCATGATGATCTGATTGTACGCCCAATGCCATCTCTGCCTCGCCGTCATCTCTGGGCGTTCCTTCAGTTGCGTAGGTACCGGTGCGACCATCCCGAGAAGTTCCTCGTCGACTGGTGGCTCTGGCGGACTTCTCGGCGGAGTGTCCATCTGAACACTTTCATCCAACGACGCCTGCTTTATTATACTCCCTGAAATTGAGTCAGCCGATCGATTGATTAGCAAGAAAATGTTAAACAATGTGTGTTACTTCTTAATTAATAATTAACACAATATCTTACCGCGTGGGCTTTCGATATGTGACAACGGCGGAGTCCCTTTGTATTGATCGACCAGTGAATCCTCTCGAGAGTTACGACGCAAGGCTTCCTCATCTCGTTCGTACCTTTGAAAAAATAAACAATTCGTTTACATACCCGAACTGATATATCAGAGAAAGAATATTGTATTCGACTATTAATTACGATTTATAATCATAATTTCGTACCTCTCAAGAGATTCGTCCCGCATTTGATAGTCACCGTTCACCGCGTTGCCCAGAACGATATCGCTCTGATCTAGCGATTCCTGATCCTTGAAGTGACCACGTTGATAGCTCTCCGCTCTGGAAATGGGCTGTGGCGCGGTAAAGTTATGCCCGTAATTGCTACCTCGTAGATCTCTCTGCTGATACGAATCAGTCCTGGTGAGAGGCGGTTTGAATCCTTCAGTGGTCGACGAGAAGGAATCCTTTCTTTGCAGTTGAGCGTACGATCCTGTATGACTATAAGAGTCCTCGGTGTAGTTATCCGAGACGTAAGAGTCCCCTCTCGTGAGTTTCGGTTTCTGCGAGAGCGTTGATTGAGAAAGCTGACTCTGATGCGACAGCTGCGAATCCTTCCTTTGCATTTCCTTGGGAATAATCTCCGGATAGTCTTCATCCTCGATAACATCCTCCTGATAGGAATCTGTTCTGGCCAATGGTCGTTTTCCATTCACGATGTTCGTGGTGGTGTGGACCATCGCGGTGGTGGTCACGTGATTGGTCGTCACATGATTCACCATCGTTGTTGCCTGTGATTGAGCGATGCTCTGAGGAGACTCCACCAAAGTGACGGGCGCGGGACTCGAGTCACCCGCCGTCGAATACTCGCTGTATGCTTTCTTAAGTTGATTGCTACCGACAGAACTCACGGCGGTCTCGAACGAATCCTTCAGCTCGTCGTCCCTCGACTCGAGCGAGTCCGTATTCTGCTGGAGAAGCGGGCTCGTCTCACGCTTACCGCCAATTTTCTTTCTTCTCGAGCTGTTCTCGAGTTCGTTCTCTTGAGACTGATAAAGATATTCTGATTCACTCGATGGATAACCATTCGTTCTCGTCTGACCTCGTGGCGTGGTCACGGATAACTCAGGCACTTCACTCTGTCTTCTGTCCGTCGCTGTCGATGAATCATTTTTATAACGCTGCTCCTCAAAAGATCCTTGATACGAATCTGGATATTCATCATATGATTCTTGATAATCTTGATAAGTTTCCTGATAGTTATTTTTATACGTCGTAGGCACGTCATTCTGTTTACTGTACGGCGTTTGATAATCTACGAAATCTTCCTGCGGCTGCTTTGTATAGGATTCTTGATAATTATCCTGCGATGTAACAGGCACTTGATTATATGTCTCTTGATAAGTTTTCTGATAATCGGTCGACGTATTAATATTGTACTGAGAGTCATATTGCTGCGGCTGATACTGATTATAGGTGTTCGTGACGTTATTTTGATCGTAAACGCTCGTCGGTACGGTAGCATAATCATCGTATTGCTCCTGATATACATCTTGTTGTTTGTAATCCGACTGCTGATACTGAACGTTGTTCTGATTAAAGCCCATCTCGTGAAAATTATCCTCGATTACCATACCGTCGGGCTTGTCGTACTGATTCTTCGCCTGATTCGCGTACTGGTGATCATTCGCCTGGCTAGCAATTGGATATGTCGTGTCCAGATACGTTCCCTGATACGCCTGAGTGTTTTGCTGCGCGTAAGGTTGTTGGTACTCGTCCTTGTACGAGTTCTGTTGCGCATACGCCGTTGGCTGCTCGTAGCTATTTTGCGTATGTTGCTCTGGATACGACTGACCATACTGGCCATCGACCTGCGTTGTGTAATCATACTGATTATCTTGATTTATCTCAGGATATCGAGTTTTGTTAGCGGAGTCGGTCTGGCCACTCTGCTGCTGACTGTAAATGTTCTCCGTATATGTGTCCTGCGGCAGATTGTCCTGACTACGATAAGCGTAATTATAGTCCTCGTTATAATCGGATTTATAATAGCTCTCCTCGGAGGGCGTTCTGGTCTTTGGCAGTTGTCTGCTCGGCGTAGCGGGCAGAGAGGCGAGCTTACGGCTGATCACCACGTTGCTCGGCTTGGTCGGGGTCGGAGGTAGTTTCTTACCGGTGCCGCCCTCCTGCCGCGACATCGG